TATAATTTTTGATTAATTGGCCTTTCATAATAATTGGCCTTTTTTTTAAATTGAGATTGAAAACCACATGTTCACAAAAATTGGAATTCCTTACCAATTATCCATCTACCTTTCTCTAGTTCTGTCCCCCCCCCCCCCTCTCTTCATTAAATCTATAATCCAACTCCCCCGTCTAAAATATCACCCCCTTTTCTAATAATACTGTTTTATTTCAAATAACTTACCAAGTTTGAGGCCACTAGTGCTGCTATACCAATAATTTCTTCATTATATGGAGCTGGTAGTGTGGAAACAATTTTGTCCTACAAAGATACAAAGACACATAACTAAAACCCAGGTAAAATATGAGAAATTACATCCCTAAGAGAAAAGTGAGTAAAAACCTAAGCTGTTACTTTTGCAGCTAGGTGACACTGATTAAATTGCATTGACTTACTAGAGATATATTTAAGTATATTCCAACCAGTGCATGTAACAATGTGATGGCTTTAAAATGACAGTGTCTGCTTACCTAACACCCATGTAAGCAAGTCCCACCAGGTTAATAAATTTAGTAAAGTAAAATCACCAAAGTTTTTCAACTGTAGCGATATAATTATACTCTGAACAAAATCTGACTACAAGAAATGGTGAAGCAAATCAGTCCAGGTATGACTGAGAAATGGCAAATGTTAAAATGTTGTTTTTTTCAAGAAAAGTGGTTGCCGATTAAAAAATTCATAAACAAATTAACAAGCATTTACGATAGTGGCATGTCAGTCTACCAACTTTAAAAATCAGTCCAAGCATGACCTAGAAAAATGTTGTTGAATTGACTGACACATGGACATAAATATACAAATTACATCTTAAGGAACTAAAAACAAATTAAAAGAAAAATTGTGACATGTGACATACATAGTAGCAGTCTATGTACATTGTAACCAACTGTTTGTGATGTATTTTGTCTTATTTGCATATATACCATATTTGCTCTAATACACATAAAATAAAGTTTGCAAATAGATTGGATCATTAAATTATTACGACATTGCAATTCATATACTCATGGAAATAAGTGTATGATACTGATAAAAGAAAATATAACAATGATAATTAATCTGTTTCCAAACAAATCAATTAAATAATCATGAAATGATCCTGTAATAACAACATGTGTAATGAGTGACTGTGCAACAACAACAGTTCCATTTATTATTGAGTATATATCCTTATGAAACGTACGTAGTTTAAAGACGTGTGTATTCCAAGTACATTCAATACATGTTTAAGTCTGTCCATTATTGCAGACTGATAAAAGTCCAGAATGGCCGTTCGGTCTACAGCCGACGGGCATCAGCACTATACTGTTCCAAACTTTAACAGCCAACATTCAGAATGACTACTCCCCTCCCCCCGGTTTTTCTGTGGCCTATTGGCAAGAAAGTCCAGGGCCGTTTTTTGGTCCCAGTCCATTCCTGCATGCTTGTATACAAAACTGACCAAATCATGCTGATTTACTGAAATTTTAATACAAAGATCAAGTACTTTTGATACTTACAAAATGTTTATCCACAAATTCAATCAGCGCACCGTTAAAAAAAGAGCCTGTCAGATTTTTAATCACATTCAGCATATCACCAAACTGAAATTAAAAAGTCAGTATAGTCAATGAGTAAAACAAACAAAAATAGTTTTATACTAACTCAGTGTAAAATAAAAATGGCGAAACATATTTTGACATAATTTGTTGCAACATTTTGCAAATTTTTGTATATTTTACTACAACTTTTTTGTAAAAGAGCAGTGGTCATCCATAGGGTGGTGGGCAGTTTGAATTTCATGTACACAATGTACGTCACTATGAGTCCCATATCGAACAAGACGCAACGCGATGACCACCGTCCTTTACAATTTGAACAAAATGAACATGATTTTATATTGGTTATTGATCAGAATTTTGTTTAAAAAAGAATGCATGCTAAAAAACCTTTTTAAATCACGGAAAACTGCACAATTATGCAAAACTTTAATTTTTTTCTATATTTTTACAAACATTTTGATCAGAACTTTCATCAAATACATAAAATGTATATCTTCACAGTGCGGCGAATGTAATACTGAACTAAGCCGAAATACACATCACATAGTTTGATGTCATAAATATACGTGTACTACCAAAGATTATTTGGGGGGAGCAAGGGTTATTTTCGTTCAACGTAATTGCAATATATTTTTGTTCCTACAACATAAATTGAAAAAAATAAATCCGTAATTCTGTAATCACAGGCTAGACGTAATCAATCAAATATTTTTTTTGTACACTGTAAAAATGTGTCATTTTTCTCGGTACGTACACGAATTTACATTCAAATAAAAAAAGTTGAAAGAATAATCCAGGGAAATTATATTTTCGAAACTGTAAAACGACTAGATGACACAATTCACTGCAAAAGTCAATTTTCACTGTAAACTGTAAAATTGTAAAAGGCCCTTTTCATTTCCCGTAAAACTGTACCAGCTACCCTACCCCCCACTACCCCCCCCCCTCTTATTTCATTGTACATTCTACAAGAAGGTTACTCACCTTCCCAAATTATATATGGTTTGATAACAGGTTACAAGAAAAATCATTCATGATTGCTACCTCACGTGTTGATTTTCAGAATTATTTTTCAGTGGCACAATAAAGATAAATGTATTGAAGGTGCCACAGTCATTGTGGCATGCCATGTTCAATGTAGGTCCCATATATACAACATGTGTATGTTGCACACTGTTTTTTCATACAATATTCAAAAGCACAATGTATGTCGCTGGAATAAAATTTGAATAAATAAAACAAAACATGTCTTTGCTTATTTGTTTATTTGTATCGCACTTGAAGCTGACTTTGTGCACATTGAATGTTGACTGTGGTGGTAACAATATTCACATGATTGTATACAGTAAAATGAACAATACCCTTTGTCTATATCATCAACTAAGTAAATCAAAGTCTGAAGTTGTGATCAAGATAACATCTACAATCACTGATTGTAACAGGCATACAATATACGCCCCTTTTTTTCAAAGATTATTAACCATACAGGGCCTACATTAATCCTAACCTCAACTTTTGACACCTTTAACAAAAATTAAATCTGCATAATTTTTTCCATATTTTTTCGTAAATTTTGATCAAGACCTACAACTGATACAAAACTATGTCCATCTGGTTCAAAATTATCTAAACTATTGTAGAAAATTACATAAATATAGGCAAAATGTTGCACCATCATTTTGAAAGGAAAGTGCGCTCAAATGGTTGAAAATTTGTCAATTGCTCAGCATGTTGGACTACCGTATTAGTCATCAATTTAGCTTCCTACTTTTTATTGAGATTGCAGTGCTACCAATTTTCAATAGTATTTTATTATATGGAAATTAACAAAAAATGCTGTACTTTTCTGTAATTTCTTTTATAAGGTGTGCGCTACAGAATGTACCGACCAATCAAAGTAATACCGGTATAAATACAATCAATGTATTTATACCGGATAAATACATTGATTGTTTTTTACAGATAAGTACAAGAATATACTAAATTCACTTTCATCACAAGTAAATGATAATACAGAGTAATATTTCGTATCCAGTCATCCCAGGTATCAGCTAAAAATTTGTAGATTAAAGTTTGTCAATTTTTTTCAGATTTTTGTCCAAATATTTTTTTAAAAATGGAAAAAAATTTCAACATGATTTTTAAGATAGTCTGAAAATAGATTATTGGTAAATTGCACCCATTTTTTTACAAACAAATTGACTAGAAACTTTTTTATTTTTTTCTGGGCCTCACCTCTTGTGCCTTGTCCTTCATGACTTCATTCCATCTGTCCTTTGGATCCAAGTCCAGGTTGATCACGTAGTTTGGTACAGCGGTTTCGAGTTTTGGTGGGTATACATCAAACCGACAATCTTCTGTAAACTATGAAAGTAAATACAATTGCAATGACTCAAACCGCTTGTGTATATGATATAAATTTTGTCACTGAAAAAAGTTTAATGACCATAAATTTATATTTAATTTTATATTAATAAAATTTATTCTTGTAGTTATGTAATACTGTTCGAACACATCAGTTTCACAAACTAACTTATTTCATTTGAATAGATAAATCCATCTGACTTGAAACAGTTTTATTGAAATATAAAAAAGAAAAAACAAGATATTTGCAAATAACTTAGTTGACTTTGACAATGACAACTACGAATTCTTAAAGTGCCTGTGCAATAATATATAAAATTACATGTAGATGCAGACCTAATTTTATGTAGCAAGCTGTTCAAATAAAAATAAAGAGCTTGTGTTTACGAATATAAATTTGTCATTTATCTAAATGACAAAAATGAATGTTTAAATTTAAAATAAGAAAATTATTTAAATAAGTTGGCGACAGACTGTGATATTTAAAGTAATATAACCGCGGTAAAAATAATTATTTTTTTTTAATTTTTGGGATTTCAGGATCTCAGCTTCATGATTTTCATGGTCCATATACAATATTAGTATTATACCTGATTGGTCACATAAAAAATAACCCATAAATTCATCTATTTTGTTGACTACCGGGGTAGTTTGGAAAGTAGCATTAAAATGTGCTGTACACTTTTATGGGTAATATACTACCTGTACTAACAAGCGGAAGAGCTTGCTTGGAAGCCCATCAAAATTTGCTACATGCTAGGAATTTGTGGAGAGATCTCTATGCGACAATTAACCTTATTATTTCATGCAGTTTCTTGAGTTTCAGTCAAACAGTATTCTGACCAATAACGTGGCAGCAACTCATCTTAAAATACTGACAAGCAACATGTTGCTGTTGCCAACCACTAGTAAATATATATTCAGTCAGAAAATGTACTCTAACTTGTTTTTGATTGAATATACAACAAGAAAGAGGTAGTCGTCATATCATTTGACATGTCGGCCGAGCTCACGTTAAATTGTGGAAGAGTAAATTTTATGTTGCTTTCATTTCCTTGTTTCTCCTTTCATGGCAGTTTGTCTTCATTATAGCATTAATTTGGTGTAATTATTCAGTCATTGTATATGTCATTTTAGTGTTTATTTTACGATACATTGGGTTCATGAGGGCTCAAATTTGTTTTAGAGACATTTATAAATATTATTAAAACATTTATTTATTCTTATTTATTTGTATTTCATTTGAATCAAAATATAATTATGCTTTCACTGGCTGTGGAAACCATTAACGGCCATTACCCACGAGCCTTTGTAGGATCTATTTTTTGGCTGATTCGATGTCATGAATGCAACAAAATGGATCTCATCAAATTTGTTTGAAATGCTGAAATTACAATGATTTGTTTGCTGAAATAAAATTAAAAGAATAGGAGAGGTCAGAGGTTAACCACTATTCATCCACTAAGGTTTGTGATTGGTCAAGTTGCTTTCATTTGAAAGTTATAAACACTTATGAATATTTTATATGAAACAATTATATTCACACCTCACGAAACAAGGTGTATTTTAATACCTTTAAAATAAACAAGTGTGAACTACAGTAACAACAAAAAGGGGGAAGGAACGTAATATTCACCATCAGAGGATCTTCATTTTTTGACCTACATTATTTCCGGTGTCAAGGAAGTATCATGGTACTGAACGGTCAACGCACTTTTGATTTGTTTTGACCACGGAGGGGAAATAATAACATAAAAGATCGACTAAGTAGTATGGGCAAGTTGTCATATGGTTACAAATGTTAGTCAGAGCACGGACGTACTGGAGAGTACGTCCATGGTCAGAGACACTTAGGAGAGTCGATCTCGAGAACTGAATATACTACTATACTACGGCTCGGTGCATATTTTGTAAATGACAACACCTTTCTGAGAAGATAACCGCGACTATACTTACTGGGGGTACATCCTGCGAGAGAACAACGAAGGGCAGCACTGCCAGCAACAAAACAGAAACGACGAAGTTCATTGTCAGTGCAGTGGTAGTGTGAAAACCCAAGCAGAATACGATAACAACACCAGCCTGCTGAGTTGTGATCACCTGACTAAAAGTAGGTAAATAATATTACAGTATTCAGCGTGGTGGCGCTCCGTCATTTTGTGAACAAGTGCGCAGCCAGCGACAGAAACAAGAAACTCTAGTTTTCGGGGGTGTCACAAATACGGATCTATTTTTCATTGAGCGCCTGAGGTTCACAATTCAAAACACTGCCCTTTGTACATTTTAGGATTGTTAAGGAAAACCTTATAGTTGACTAAGACTAGAAAGCTTTTCTAAAAGTTAATAAAAGTAATTTTATTTAGTTCATCATTATCCATAGAATGTGGGGTATACAGAAAATACGCATGTAGCTCAGACGTCCCCAACCTTATTCTGTCTCTTATTTTCCAGACAGACAACTAAAATTCGATACAGACAATGAAAAGCGTTACTTTTCTATAGCGTACATTGCAGGTCACCCACGTGATCATCACGTTGACGAAGCGTGGGAAGGCAACTGACTGGATACATTGTTGATTCCACTTGCCTTTGATCTATTGTTAATTTCGTTCGGCACGTGACAGTATCACCTAACGCGTCAATAAAATGAAAAGCCTCAAATTGAAAATAGGATTTTTAATTTACGTTGTTCATTTCAACATCTTATTTTTGAAAGGGCGATGTTGCCACCACAAGCATGACTTTGAAAACTTCAGCTAAACTTTAAATTGTGATTACTTAACGAAAGCTGAAATTACGCCTAAAAACAAAAATGTTAGATTCCAGAAAATATTAGAAATTAACTTGGCCGCCATTTGCCACGAACTATCAACAAGTAACGGTTTCAAAAATCTGTAAAAGTGTATATGAAAATTATTTTCAAATTATCGATCATGTATTGAGCCAGACTTATGTGAAGGGTTAGCCTTTGCTTTTTCCATATATCAGAAAAATATTCTCCGTATTGAATAAATGACATAACAGTAAAAGTAAAGTAAAACAAAGGGACAAATATAAATATCGCGGATGACGACCTACATATGATTGTATTGACTTATAAGCGAGCAAATATAACATACAACAAGGAAATATCATATTCCTTATACCTGAAATAAAATAAAAACAAACTCAGTTGTGTTTTGGGTGATTTATTTCAATTTTAGTGTATTAATTAATACGACATTACCTTGGAAATATAAAATAAAATAAGGTCATTACAAACAACAAAACTAAACTAAATTGACCGACAAGGACATCCAAGACGTGTACATAAGCATCACAGTACATTTACAAATTACCAAATTTATTACCTGAAAAAATAAATTATTCATTATATTACACACATTAATGTCGAATAAGGGGTATCCAATTCGCTGCGAATTCAGTCTTTGTTGTTGTTAATACTTTGCACGTGACAATATTCATTTGACCTTAAATTCTTATCTGGGTTTCACTTTTTTTTATTTGTATGTACGGCTATATTTATTTTTTAAGTTTTATAACCGTTACAAGGTCCAGGAACAAAAAGAAGCGGAGAGAAATATCCGCAGTAAAAATAATACCTTGGAACTTTATCTAGAGAAACTGCAATGTTTACACCGAAATACCGATAAATAAAAAAAAACTCAATAATGGCAAGGAAACCAACAATATTCGTTGTTGAATTGGTGATTCGTTCTGATTTATATCTACAACCAATCCAAGCTTATTGTGCTTCGTTAACAGTAATGGTTAATGATTGACACTCTCTGAAATACTCACTCCTTGCTTTGCTCGTTCGCATATAGGTTTCTATGCTGTGACAATTTAGCCACGCATCCCCTATTGTACGTGTGATATCATGATTACAATTATCTGACCTGTGTTGGAAAAAAGCTGTTACTAGTAGTAACATACATACATACACACCCGCTTATTTATAATAAAAAAAACTAAATTTTACGACACGCCGATATCAAGTCGTGTGTATACGGTTCAGTTCGAGTGAGTCAGTGTGCGCGGGCGGGGGGGGGGGGTTATGGCGATGTAACAACATATCCCTAAAGTATACAAAGTTCACTCGTGGGTTTGTAACGAAAATATTGCCATTACAGCGGCGACTTTTTTTGGTGTTTTTGGCTATTGAGTTTATATTTATTGATGTTCACATGTTCTCATCGCTATACATGCTTTCCATCGCGCCAACAATCCCAAGAATAGCTTCAATGTTTCCTGTCCTGGTTCTGTGTCATGGGGTATACGCATAGTCCAATATGGTCCGTCTCAGAAACTTGAAATATATAGTAAGTAGACACCCAACAACTATATCACCGAACAAGTTCGATCTTGGGCCATATGCAGGAAACAATCCATATAAATGCTTGTTTATAAGTAATGCACCATACAACGCCACCACTGACTATTAACTGTTTTATGTGTTTCTTCATAATTACCGAGTTGTTGTTAACAAAGAAATCTGCAATACAGATTCACACTGGCGATTCGCCGGCATGTTCGCCAGGAGAATCACAAAGGAAATTGAGATTAAAAAGAAAAATATATTTGCAAAGAATAATTTTATTTCGACTTCAATAATCATAAACACCGTGTGTGCATACACGTGACTATTTGTTTGAAAACCACTCAAAATACACGTTTTTGTGTTGCAGCCTGCAAACTGAGCCCCGATTCGAGTGCCCCTCCCGGGAACATGGTAGCACAATGTGGGAAGGATAGATAGGAGGACAGACACGCAGGCAGACAGACAAGATAACTACTAAGTTGAAAACGCTACACCAGTAATTTAAATACAAATTATCAATTATCAATCATTAGACCCATTCGATGTATCTCTATGGAAAAATTGCCCTTTCAAACAAAACAAGTATCAGTTACTATCAGCATAGTATATGAACTATATTCCAGTATATCCTTCTTATTATGTCACTTTGTACGGTCCAAAAATTATATGCGGTACGTAAAATAAGTGAAAAACTGTTTGTATTGGTAAAGGGGACATCACACCCTTTTATCCTGCTGTATATTAGGAGTGTTTACATGTAATAAAATCTCATAATTGGTTGCAGAATATGTCGGCAGAAACGTCTGTGTTCCATTTATAAGTACGAAGGGATTGAAGACGCTAGATTGGACATGTGCACATGACACTGATTGAACAACTAGGCATATTAATGTCGAGTGACAATATTTAATGGTCATATTTTATTATGTTCTAAAGATGAATTACCGCCACCAGTTGCTAATTACTTGGTAGTGACTTGTTCAGCGTCGTTTTATTTTCAGTAACCTTCAAAGTACACACCACCTGAAAAAGAGTAACATATTAACATACACACTCACGAATTGCACGCAATGAAATGTGACAAGCTCATATGTCTCAGTGAATTTATCAGCTATGCTTTTTTTTCAAATAGCATTTTTGAAATACAAAAATTATATCTTCTTCCTCTTACTGATTCGCAGTGTAGTGTAGTGTAGTTGTCAGTTTTATTCCGTTCTTGAGAATTGTCATGTCAATTGTTGCCAAAACATTGCTTTGTGTTCTACGGTTGGGTTAACTATATAAAAAATCGTACTGGTTTATACATTCTCAAAATTAACAATAACCTTGAATGGCCTGTGTCTAATAATTTAAAGGTAACACGTCTGGAATGTTCGTTTCCTCGTCTGATTCAGCGCCATCCAGTGCGCTGGTTTTGGCCGTATAACCATCTAGTGCGTTGTTTTCGACCGCACGATTTAATTTAAATTTCCATAGATCGATTCTTGGCTGGGCACTGACTAAGACAGCACAGAGCAACACCTGATTAACGAACAGAATACATACAATCAGGTCATTGTAATTAGGTCATTCTGATCCAAAAAGATCCATTGTTATTTTGCATATTAATATGGATTTAATTTAGCGAATTTTAATGATTGGTGGACATACTGAAATTAAAAATAAAGTATAATTAATTTATTTGCAGTAAATAAACAATACCTCGGCATTGTAAGATTTGCCTTAAATCTTCACTTTAATTAAAATATGTGTTTTTTTAAAAAGCAGTTGAACTTCACATTTAAAAAACAAGATATGTAATAAACACTCAGTCCATGAAAACATGTACACAAAAGTCCATGAAAGCATGTACACAAATGTATCACTTAATACAATTGTATCAGATGGAAACTTACCAATGCCAAAGCCATAATCAAAATCTTAGTTGCCATGTTGTCGCCACTTTATAACAAATTGAAAACACTGTAAAAATAAAGATTCTCAATTAATAACACAAACAACATAATTAATAACTTAAAGAGATTCAAAATAATAATAATATATATGTAAAATGGTACATAAATACATAAATCTTGGAAATATAGTAGTAAAGCCAAAAAGTCAGATGGCTGTCAATCGGCCATCCTTGATCCGATTTTGAAGCAAATTGTCATGAAGGTGTATCCTAACATGTATAAAGTATGTGCCAAATTTGAATGAAAACTGACAAAGCATGTCCAAGATACCATATTTAAAAAAAAAAACATGCCTGCCAGTCGGCCATCTTTTATCAAATTGCTAAAGATATTGTCATGGACATATATTCTAACATGTATAATCTATTTACCAATTTTGAATGAAAGCATGTCTAAAATGGCTACCAGTCGGCCATTTTGAATTGAATCACTGAACCACTGCATGTGCATATGTCCCACATAAAATACTAGGCACATGCAAAGAATGAACAAAATTGGTCCAAAAGATTCTGAAATATGACTCCTCATAGATGCACGCACAGACGGACGGACGGACAGACGCACGCACGGATGAACGCACACACAGACAGTCGGAGGACATGTATCCTAACATATATAATCTGTGTACCAAATTTGAATGAAAACTGACAAAGCATGTCCAAAATACGACATTTTTCAAAAAACAAGATGGCTGCCAGTCGGCCATTTTGAATCGAATCGCTAAACCACTGCATGTGAATATGTCCCACATAAAGTACTAACCACATGCAAAGAATGAATGGAATCGGTCCGACGGATTCTGAAATATGACTCCGGACGGACGGACGGAGACCGAATTATAAGTCCCCGTTTTCGGACTTCGTCCGAACGGGGACTAATAATTACTATAATAAATATTATAAGCACCTGAGATGAGTAGTGCCTGACTATAATATTAAAGATGTTCCGAATACGTGCGATATTAATTGTATGTATATGTACTGAGTAGAAGAGCTTAGAAATATATCTTCTGCAACTTGTATATTTGACTGTCAACAGTCACCCATTCCAATTAAAATACTATTCCAAATCAGAAGAAGAGGTTGGGAAATTAGAACACAAGGTATCGATGGTGAGTTAAACCAGAAAGTTGAAGATATACAGCAATCGATTGGCACTGCAAATGACCGTATATAACAATGACAACACGAAATGGAGGGCAGGGGGGGGGGGTAGAGCAATTGCGAGTGAGATTGAACACGGCAGAACAATGACTAAAGAGATGACTTAGATAAATTTGGTTGGCGGATAAACCTCAATCTTCACAACATAGAGGAACGAGTAGAAAAGATGGAAGGCAATTGCGCCGAATTCTTTTAGAAGTTTGTTAACGCTCACATGTGAGTTAGTGACCTTCTCTAACACGTGTCCATTGGAATGACCCACCATGTTCCATCATTTATGCAACCAGGGGAAAGAAGAATGAAGATCAACAAGTTCCACAGTGTGTACGTTATTGACAATGTCAGCAATAAGGTGTTAAAAAAAGAAGGAAACTACTCGAATATAGAAAGAAGAGTAAGGTGAAACATTGTGACAAGGGCTTTGAATACTAAATCTAATGGAAAGTATCTGCCACATCAATGATGGAAATGTCATGAATTTGTTTTCGCGTATCTCTTGACCGACTTAATTAGTTGATTACGAGCGAATTGTTGTGTTATGTCTGTCATCGTGTAGGCCTATTTGAAGTTTTGGACGGAACTTGGCTCAGTGGTTTGGAACTAATTACAAGATACCGTCGCTATTCTGACATCCGTAGTTATTAATGTAGTGAACGATTAATCAAAAGATATGCCGTATTCAGTACTTAGTGTGATTGGCTTTATGATTGAAGGTTACGCCCTAGAGTCCTTTTACTGTTTTGTAATTGGTTAGAGTTTTGAAAATGAATAAAGACAGTTTGAGTTGGTCTTGGCGAATACTCCACGACAGACGCAGTCCGAGAGAGTCCAGGGGCGAGCCTTGAGGCAGTCCAGTCTTGGGCGAGTCTTGGTTCAGCCTTGTGAGAGTCTTGGGGACTTTTCCCCAGGGCGCTGTGTCTTATAGAGTGCTCCAAAAGATCGACTAAGACGAGAGTTGAAACGTATTTCGTTGTGTGTGTCTTATTTG